AAAGTGATACAGGTAATACATGTGATTTATTCTAGAAATTTTTAACCAAAGACTCTAGTTTCGAGGCTGTATGTACAAGATCAATCAAAAATCAACATGTGCTTCCAAAACTGTGACTTAGTTGGCCTAATGTGCAACCATTGTAAGTTGCAGTACATGGGATCTCCATTGAATAAGTTAGGTCTGATTTGGAAACCACAAGTTATCAGTGCTCAACAAACAAAAAATATTGAGCTGGTGGTCTATTTTGATTGTATCAAACATGAGATTTCTCAAATTAACCTCACTGTCAATTGTCATACTTCAGTGCAATACCAAACAATAGCCTTGAAAATAAGGTCTTTGGAAACGTGACTTCCAGCATTTTGAGGGATAATTTAGAGGGTTCGACTGATCCATCCTTGGATCTGCCCTTGGTATGGGATTACTATCATGTGACTACACCAATTGCCATCGACAGTGGCCATTTAACTAGCTTACAGTAATTGGGGAAGAAGACTATCCTATTGATTTAAATATTTCCATCGCAAAATGTTGGGCTGTTGTGTACATATCCTCCCCTTTCCACACCTCACCTGGGGTTTCATATATCAGCTTCATATGCTGATTTAAGTTTGGTAGCACTTGTCATGTCCTAATTTGCTTTATAACATAGCTTGTAATTCGTGCAATTAAATTCAGTAGCGCGAGCGTGCTTCAATTTTCCATTGTGCACGCTGGTGACGTCGGCAAACAAATGCCTCGCCAAAACATTTTTTTTTCACGAGTGACTTCTGCATCAGCATTTTTCATTAAAAAACGGGAAAAACTTTCGCAAAAAAGTTAAACTAGACATTGCAACAAGCTAACAGGCCGATCAAGATCTGCCTACTCTTTGGGAATGGATTTTTTAACTCCCGAGAAAGAACCCAGAGAAAGGGAAAACAAAACAATCAACGGTTCCATCTAGTTTCGGAACTAACTTCATTTCCACGCATGAATGCACCTGTCAGTTTTTGACCAATCTGAGACAAGATCATTAAAGCATGACGAAATACTTTTCCGAAACAAAATAAAGAACGCATTGAAGGGATGTTACTAAAACTGGTAAAGAAGAACGGAGAACGAGAACGGGGAACGGAGAACAGGGAACGGAGAACGGAGAACAGGGAACGGAGAACGGAGAACAGGGAACGGAGAACGGGGAACAGGGAACGAGTGTACAGCGACAACCCACCTAAGAATTCAAAATGGTGGAGTAAAAGGAACTAAAAGGGTCTGGCAACTAGTTTTGAGCACGTGCTCTTCGAACGCGATCGTTGGAGCAAAAATTAAAAAGCGTGGACGGTAAGTGTAGGTTTCATTGAAGGATTTTACTTTGAAATGTTGAGGGCCTCATAAATTTAGTTTTTATCCGGCACACATTGCAGGTTGCATAGAAATCGAATCCTCGGAGAGGTGAGTATCTTACAATTCATGCACAACATTTCAACAATCAACTGAGAACTACAAGCTCGCGGCATTTATTCTTATATTCATAGAGTAATTATACTGCAAGGTAATAAAGTTTACCTCCAATATCTTCACCGTTACAACCTAGCAATATCAATAATGTTGTAAAGCAAACAGCTGAATAACTTTCGCGCCCATTAGGGGAATCACTTTCTCTTGAATATGATCAAGGCAGTGTAAGTATTATTGAAAGCATTAGCATGAATGTGACTCATTTATACACCTACATTCTTGAAGACTCATGTTTTCCCGATAAATTAAATGTTATTAAAAGTTCTGTCAATGTTTGATTTCTCTATTGTTTACATGGAAGTTTATGGGTCGATACAAAGATATGTTCCTGATGTTATTTTGCGGTAAGTTAAGCAGATATCTGCATGTAGTAATTTTAATAACTAGGCTGGTTATTACGTTTCCTAGCTCATTTCTGTTAATCTAAGATATTACCTCCTTGCTACTTATCTGCAAAAAATGCTGTTGGGCAATGCAAACAACCAACATACCCAAACTCTGCCAAAAGATGCAGATTTCAGGAAGGAAAAACAAAGAGAGACGTCAGAACAAATGGTGGCAGCCATTGCAGAAACGTTGACTTCGAATTCTCGCCTCGGAATACTAGGCTTCGTGGCTTCGCCTGGGCAATAGTTAAATAAAAGCGAGTCGTCTAATTTCGCTGCAAGCGGCGACCTAGCGATAAAATCAGTGTTTGTAAACATCGTTTACTCCGCCATTTTGAATTCTCAGGTGGGTTACCGCTGTACACCCGTTCCCCGTTCCCCGTTCCCCGTTCCCCGTTCCCCGTTCCCCGTTCCCCGTTCCCCGTTCCCCGTTCCTCGTTCTCTGTTCCTCGTTCCCCGTTCCTCGTTCTCCGTTCCTCGTTCTCCGTTCCCCGTTTCNAACGGGGAACGGGGAACGGGTGTACAGCGGTAACCCACCTGAGAATTCAAAATGGCGGAGTAAACGATGTTTACAAACACTGATTTTATCGCTAGGTCGCCGCTTGCAGCGAAATTAGACGACTCGCATTTATTTAACTATTTCCTAGGCGAAGCCACGAAGCCTAGTATTCCGAGGCGAGAATTCGAACTCAACGTTTCTTCAATTGGCTGCCACCATTTGTTCTGACGTCTCTCTTTGTTTTTCCTTCCTGAAATCTGCATCTTTTGGCAGAGTTTGGGTATGTTGGTTGTTTGCATTGCCCAACAGCATTTTTTGCAGATAAGTAGCAAGGAGGTAATATCTTAGATTAACAGAAATGAGCTAGGAAACGTAATAACCAGCCTAGTTATTAAAATTACTACATGCAGATATCTGCTTACCTTACCGCAAAATAACATCAGGAACATATCTTTGTATCGACCCATAAACTTCCATGTAAACAATAGAGAAATCAAACATTGACAGAACTTTTAATAACATTTAATTTAACAGGAAAACATCAGTTATGTCTTCAAGAATGTAGGTGTATGAATTCACATTCATGCTAATGCTTACAATAATATTTACACTGCATTGATCATATTCAAGAGAAAGTGATTCCCATAATGGGCGCGAAAGTCATTCAGCTGTTTGCTTTACAACATTATTGATATTGCTAGGTTGTAACGGTGAAGATATTGGAGGTAAACTTTATTACCTCGCAGTACAATTACTCTATGAATATAAAAATAAATGCCGCGAGCTTGTAGTTCTGAGTTGATTGATTGCAACCTGCAATGTGTGCCAGATAAAAACTAAATTTATGAGGTGTAGTATCCCGCCCGGATGGTTTGGATCTAACCAATAACACTCGGATTAAACCAACGCACATTAACTTAACAGTTTAATGGTGGACAACGTATTCTAACAACAACTCTCGCACGCATGCGCCAATGGGTAATACACTACATAAGGCACTCAACATTTCAAAGTAAAATCCTTCAATAAAACCTATACTTACCGTCCACGCTTTTTAATTTTTGCTCCAACGATCGCGTTCGAAGAGCACGTGCTCAAAACTAGTTGCCAGACCCTTTTAGTTCGTTTTACTCCGCCATTTTGAATTCTCAGGTGGGTTGCCGCTGTACACCAGTTCTCCGTTCCCAGTTCGCAGTTCTCCGCTTCCCTTTCTCCGTTCTCCGTTCCTCGTTGCCCGTTCTCCGTTTCCCGTTCTTCATTTCCCGTCTCCCGTTCCCCGTTCTTCATTTCCCGTTTCCCATTTTCCGTTCCCGTTCCCCGTTACCCATTCCCGTTTCCCTTTCCCGTTATCAATTTTAGTAACACCATTGAAAATGAAATCTTGCTTTTTACTGAGCTTCATCTTAATTTTGAGTTGGAAGTTAATTTCAGTAGTTCAAAGTTAATCGAAGAGCTTCGAAGGATACGTGTTGGCGAACAAGACCGCGCAACAACAGCATTTCCTGGGTTACTAAGCTTCTGTAATTGTTCGATAAAAACGAAAGTTCTGCTCCATAAACTGCAGCGAAGCTGTGTTTCACCCACTTAAAATTCATTATTTCAAACTTGTTTGTTGATGAAGAATGTGCTGAACATTACTGACAAAACTCGAACACAATTAGGCCATCATGCACTGTGCCCAAGGTATTGAATACAAATATTCATGACAGAGAGCATACTTTTCCAAATACAGTCCAATAACATTTTTAACTTTTCTCTTAAAGCTAACGAAATGCTAGCAAAAAGAACATTTAGGGCTCTAAATATGACTAAGACTCTCCATGAACTAAAAAGACTCTTTCTATTAGTATATGTACCATCGAAACAGAGCTAGCAATTAATGTAATTAGGAAATGATGCTTTTCATTTGTGATAATAAAGGCCTTTTTTAATGGTTTTAAGCAAACTTTGAAATTTCTTTTTGTAAGTATCTGTCTCTATATTTAACACATGTCAATAAGAAAAAGCATATGTAAAAGAAAATGGGCATGGGTTATTTCCATTAAATATCAGTACTGCAAGTTTGGCAAACAAACTTGACTAATTTAATGACTCAAGCAAATTCTTTTCTTTAAAAACAGTCAGTGATCTTACAGAAAGTATTCAGTCATTTCCATATATGATTAATCTAAGAAAATTTACCTTTGTTCAGTTTCAACCGGCAAAGAAAGTTACTTTAATCAACTTCAATTCTGTAAATATGTTTCAGGCCTGAGACTAACTCGTTTCAGCCAGGGCCAATTAAAAAGAGCCCTGACAAGTATCCAAAACATATCTATGTGCCCAAGAACATAAAACATACCACTGTTAATTTCAAATTTGGAAGATATTGAAGAAATTAGAAACTGGCCAAAAAAAAAAAATTACAAAACACATCCTGAACAATTAAGCCTACTAGCAGGCTAAAATCCAAAATCCTCCAATTTAGCCCATAAGGTATGCCACAATCCTTATCAATATGATGATGATCCATATTTAGTAAATCCATAGTAATGAGGGTCCTCTCACAATTGAGATATGGTACCCTGCAATCAAACACATGCAGCATTTGTAATCAACAAATTCTTTCAGAATGAAGGTAAAAATTTTTATTTTTTCCCTCTAAAATACCTTCTTGAGAGTTTTTTTGAGTTGACAAATACTTTGCTTTGAGGTGAGTTGCAATATGGATTTTAGAGTACACAAACAGGGCAAAATCCTTAATGGACAGATTTTGGTATGCAGACCAGATATTATTTTTCTTCTTCTCAAATTCACATGTATCAAGGACTAAGGACTCAGGGATGACAAAATCACTGAAAAGGCTCTCCTTCACCAAGATCAAAAAAAATCTTTAGATTTTCAGGGCCACCTTTGGAGGCTAGACAATGGTCTTCAGCCTCTTCAAGAGATTTCAGTAAAGAGGATTTACAAGAAGTAAAATCTAAACAAATAAATATAAAAAATAGCCAGTTTGAGACTGCACATGGCTTCTACTATAATGATGGTTTTATAGTCTGTGATGCTACAAGGTAGTGTTGCAGAAGATTTGGTCTCACATGCAATACAGAAAATCTGGTGCATCCCACATACTTCTGATTACCCGGTTCCACAAGAGAGAGAGATGATTCAAGAATTTAGTGACTACTTGACACTCAACCAATAATTAAATGGTAACAAAAAAATAATGATAATGATAGTAATGACAACTCAATGGGGCTGGCTTAGGAACCTCAATGTTCCCCTATCAATCTACCATCTTGGCTCCAATAATGATCAAAATATGCTTCTTTTAATATTGCCTGTTACTTATTAACTATTTTCTTATTTAATTGCAAGTCCATTTTTGTGAGACTATTGTTTCAGACAACGGAGCATTTTGAGTGGCAGGATATTGCATCACTCCAACATTCCATTGTTCAATCGCATAGGATCATTCTATTTCAGATCTTGCTCGCTTTGCAAATGTAGTGGCTCTTTTGAAAATTAGTTGCTGATTGAAATGGTAAAATGTTCTTCAACCAAATAATTTTTCTTCATAGTTTCCACAATATGCAGATCAAACCAATTAAAGTCCCTATGACACTAATTTTTCTTTTATTTTACATCAAAATATAATGACTCTAAAACATGTTTTTGCAACATTTGTGGTATTTTACCCTTTTTTGAATTTTTTATCAAGCTCTATAATCTGCAGATAAAATGTCTTGCCGAGCAAAGAGGGACTAGGTGCTGTGACGTCACAATAGGAATCTTGTGGAGAGAAATATTCTTCATCGAGTCAGGGGTATTCGAAAAACCCCAAACTACACATTAAAACGGCATTTTTTGGCTAAAAAGATTGTAAACAGTAGCTTCCGCACTCACTTTGCTTCTTTGATAAACTTAGTGTTTGTACTGTTACATCACAGGTTCCAGTACTCTTTAACGAAGCCAAAGAGATATGGGTAGCCTAGGCTCGATACAATTTCGCACTTTTATTGCCTCGCTAAGTAACACAGATGCATCAGAATCACCCACAAATCTTACCAGACACTCTCTACATACTTCTATTTTTATAATTTAATGCTAAAAAAATAGGTGTCATAGGGACTTTAAGTTCTTTCTGCAAGGACAAGTCTTGTTTTTAATTATGTGCCTGAGACACCACTGCGAAATAGGTTTGAAATGGTTATCTCAAACTGAAAGAGTAATATCTTACAATCTGCTGGGCATAATCAGCTGATTCACACAATAATACCCTCTCTCTACAAGGAAGAAACTTTTCCTCAAAGTTTTCATGCTGTGCCAATCACAACATATACAATATTTCTGAAAGAAAAACCATTTTTTTCACACATCATCCTGAAAATATCATGACATGCTTATTGTCTTCTGTAGTATTCTGAAAGCAAACAATAGGTAGCACTAGAAAAAACAACAAAATGTGGTGAAGATCAGAATCCTACTGTTACTATCACTCACTCTCCCACTCGCGCACTAACTCATCTCCACTGTGGCTAATGTTGCTTCACCTCCTATAGGAGGCAGTAGCCACAAAAATGGATGTCACCAACCTCATTTTCAAAGTATATTGTTACTGTCAAGACTAATGCTAGGTCTAGAGGAACACCTACATGTGTTCCCCACAACATGGCCATGGTCCAAATGATGCAGAGAAGTGGTATCATTTCATTACAATTAAGTGCTGTAAACTTCCATCAGCCCATTTATGTTACTGGTTTTTACTATTCAGCACATGTAAGTTAAGTAACATTAGATATCTTAAAACTCAATACAGAAAACCTTCAGTTGAGAAGGCCTCAAGTCATTTCAATATCACTTAATAAACCAGTCACAGAGTGGCAACTTGTCCACATTTCACTTTGGAGTCTATTGCCTTCCTTAACAACTTCCATCCCTCTTTTTCCTCAAGTCTTTCTTCAAAGTTATCCTCTTCTTCACTAGACTCTGAATCCTGATAAAAAATAAAATAAATGCATTCTTCATGGCTTAAGAAGTTTAAATTTTAAGCAATGGTAAAAGTCCTGGTAAATTGGCATGTGTTTTACTATTTTGCTTTCCAATCTCTTTACAATCACGGCCATCCTATCAGTTTTGGTCTCTTCACATTTTCTAGATGAGTAAATGGTAAAAAGATGAGCAGCATTATATTGTGCATCATATATGTTGTAGTTCAATTTTATACTTGGTTCAAATTTTATTTTCCTTTGTTCTCGGTCATGTTAATGTATGATAATGAGTTTGAAACAAAGGAAAATAAAATGTGAACCAAGGATAAAATTGAACTGCAACATATACAGTATATTTTTGTAATTCTTACATTAGGCAAAGCACTCCAGAGACCCAAAATAATTTAGTACAATATCAGAGGCAAAAATATATCTAAGATATACCTGCACTGTTGAAAGACAAATATTTTAGAACTCGTCGTTGATAAGGGGCAACTGAGTGACAAGTACCAAGGGTATCATAAATTTACATAGGTAACCTTGGAGACGATTCAGAGAACTTACCACAAAGACACTTCTCAGGTTCACATGTTTGTGCCTCCCTTTTCCAAAGATCTCTCTCAGTTGATCCTGATACAATAATTGTACGAACAAATTTCAAACAGTCCAATGTGATGTTGTTCGATTCCTCTTAGCCAGATAAAATAACAAGCAAGATTTTCATATAACCCCATACATTAATTAAGCATAGAGTGTTGCAAGGAAACCTTTATAATTAGGCTTTATGAAATGGAAAGCATAATTAATGTATGGGGTTATATGGAAATCTTTCCAAGTAACATCAAAACAGTGCTTACCTGTGTATGTGATGAATATTCTTGAAGTGACCATGGTGTGTGTATTCGCCATTTTACAGTTGTAACGTCAAGATTTTTCTCCCGCTCGATAGCTGAACTGTTTCTCTGTGGGATTGAGGCAGATAAGTAAAACTCTAAGTAAAAAAGCTGTTGAAAACAGTCACTATGGCAAGCTAACATTACAATAAATACCACTTGCTTGCTAACAAAAAGGTTTGGGAGTATTACCTTCACATTTCCTGACGTGTCCACGTACTTTGGTCTTTTTCTCAAATTATAGGGCATTTTTATCTTGGAAACTTTTTCAAGCCAGCCAGAACAGAAAAAATCAAATCCTTGTGCAAAGTCGAATGGAGGCAGTAACCTTCGACTGTAAATCTTTCAGAGGATAAATAGAGAGTTCGTGCTCACGTCGCCTTGTTCCTTCAAATACCCCCAGTGAAGAGATCGCGTGATCAGCTATTTTCGTCCGATGACGCAAGACAAAAGACTCGTTCATAAAAGCTCACGAAGTTTCGAGTTTGCCGAGGAATGATCCGCCTTTAAAAAGCGACTTAAACCAATGTAACTTAAATAATCTTTTATCCCATTGCATTTTCTAATTCTCTCGTATGAGCGGCTACATTTGACAGTTTCCATTCTGTCATGAATATACGTCATAAGCTATTTCGTCTTTTAACGTACTCAAGGAACCAACACATTTTACCCTCACAGTCATGCAGTTAAATCCATCATTCTCAGAAACCTAAAATAGCTCCAAAGTGATCCCAAAACTGGTATAGCTTTTCGTAACCTCTCATAATTTCACTCAAACACGACAAAAACGTGGGCAACATTTTGTTGGAAGTGCACTTCAAACAAATGATCAACCCGAAACTTTTAAAAGTGCTCCGTGCATGATGCAAAACTTGTCCTTTCGTTTCATTTATAACGTTGAGAGAAGATCAGGACGCAAACGATCTATTAAGATCACTGATCATTTCACTTCATTCTTCACCAGTGTCATCTACTCTTAACTTGCACCATTGCAAAAAATTATTCTTCGGCGAACAGGAATTATGACTAGACCGGGGCGACTGATTCCGCGAAAAATATGAGATTTTCCATACCGTATTATACTATTTTAATCAAAATGTTCAGCAAGAAGGTATCAGAAAACTCACTACTTAGGAAGTACACCTTTCGGTGACAGTTCATAAATAAAAGTTCTGACGTATCACAAACTGAAATACAGGGATGTGAATACTCTAACTTCTAGTGGCGAGTCAAACTGGTCGGCGACAGGACCGACTGACCCGGTGACTAAGGGGCCGACCATTTAACTTCTGAGCTGGGGGGAGATTTTTGAAAACAAATTTCCTGCAAGCGCTTGTTGGAATAAAGAAAAAAGACATTTCATGCAGCCCAAATGTAACAGAAAAAAATGTAGCCAAAAATCGGGAAAAAAACAAAACAAAAAAACGCTATCCTGCACAGCAGATTGCTTGAAAAAAAGGGGGAAAAAAAAAATTCTTGATGACCCCGCCCCCCTCAACAGTTAAATGGTCGGCCCCTAAAGGTGTCATGAACGAACAGGGCTGGGTTGTTCAAAGGCGGGTTAAAATAACCAAGGATTAGTTTGAAATTTGATTTCAGATCTGAAAGCTTTAAAAAGAAAACTTCCGTTTAATTCCATTTGTCTACAATTTGATAATTGAATGCTCTAATAAAATGGGAAAAATCATCCCGAAACCACTTTTGAACAGAGAAATATAGAAACCTGGATTAAATTTTAAACCTGGGTTAGCACTAATCAGCCTTCAAACAACTGGGCCCTGGGCAGTTTAGACTTCATTGGCCTGACTAATCCAGAAATTGAAGAACTACCGAATGCATTTTAACGAGTACAATGACCTTAAATAATTAGTGAAAGAAGGCTGTTTTTCTGTAAGATAGTCATAACATTCTGTGGTAATATGTCCAACCTTGAGAATGACTGTTAATGCAAGTGAATGATTCAAAGACATTGTATTTTAAATTTTTGGGTGCGCGACACCTAGAAAATCTAGAAAACAGAGACTTCTCTCAGCGGAGTACTGTTGCAAACCTCTCCTATTGTTAAGTTCACATCTGATAGACTGCAAGATCTGTGAAGGAGAGAATCGAGGAGCATGATAGACAGACATCCAACTGACTGTAATGCAGACTTGTGCCATTTCAGAGCTGGGCCACAATGGGACTTCAGCTCAACAAAATCAACAAGGGCAGTTGAATCGATGTTTTATGATTATGGAGCACAACAGGAGAGCCATGCAACAGCAAACCACTGTGGGAATAAATCTTCAAAAATTCACCAGTCATTGCTGTTGAGAACCAACCAATGCATAATGCTTTTTGAGGTGGTTTTTATATAGCGCTACTCAATTTGTGTAAAGAAGACTCAGTATGGGTCAAAATATTGCAATGCAATTTGGAAGAGGCTACATTGTGAAAGAAATGAGCATATAATTTCTGGTGAATCCACCCCAAAACCACATTTTTTACAATCTTAAACACATAGTTGTCCTGTTCACAATTATTGACTTGTAGTGCACAGACACTTATGCTAAGTGAGAGAGATATAGGTTGTCTGTAACCAAATTTCATCCTTTTCAGATAAGTGTACTAATGGAGACTCCAGAAGCTCCAAAAGGCAGCAAGAAGCACGCTGATGATGTTATAGATGTAGCAAAAGACTTTCTAAGCGAGCTTCCAGAGAATAACATGTTTAAGCCACAGGTTTTGGTATCAGTGTCATGCAATGGTAGATGGTCTGTAGGATCATCAGTGGCAGGAAGTTATTTTATAACTCCACTTTGTCTGTGCAGACAAATTTATGATTTTAAGCCATGCTTGAAGAAGGCAATAATATCTTTCAAACCTGTGGAGAATGTTGCAGCTAATTACAACTGGTCGTCTTCAGCTGTTTGTGGCAAGGATTACAAAACAAGAAAAGCTCCTTGTAAAAACTGCAAAGTAATTTTCAAGAATTTGAATGGGTTCTTATCTACCAATGATGATAGTGTTCAGGAAAGAAGCACCTTGGCAGCATGTGCAGAGTATGGCTCTGTCAACAGTCTCCTCTCTGACGGTGGTGAAGTTTTAACAGAATCTGAGCAAAATTTTCTAGAGCTGAAGTGGAAGCAATGTATCATTTTCTTTGAACAATTTGGAAGAGTTGTTGATGGGATAATCAAGGCTTATAATTCAAATGACGATGAAGAACAGAGAAATGTGTTTGAGCAAGAGAAACATATCTTGGTAATTTTTAATTTGAAATCAGAAAGTATGACTGAAACATAATCTACAGTTACCTCATGGTATAGAAAATCATAAGCCTCGTAAGTAAAACTGGTACAGTCGAACCTCGATTATCCGGACTCGTTGGGACCTCGGTAAATAGTCCGGATATTCGAGAGTCCAAATAATCGAAAATATGAATATTGATGAGATAGAAATGTAAAAAAAAGTATACAGCAAAGAAAACATCATTTTAATTGTTAAATCTATACAGCCTGTATGTATTTACAAATAAACTTTCAGTTCAGGTATTTACAAAGGTTTAAAATGTTCAAGCATGTTCGTTTGCTTCAAAGACTTGTAGCTTGAATTTGATCACTTTGAGTTTTCAAGATCACAACTAATTAATATTCATGAAAAAATTGGGACCAGAGAAAAAAGTCCGGATAATCGAGGTTCGACTGTGCGTATATGATTGTGTATTCTGATAGGCAGAATATGTCCATAAGATCTTATTCTAAGTTCCTAAGAGAAAATCATGTAAACCTTAGTTTGTCTCCTCTCAGCTGCTGTAATGCAACCTTAGTGAAAGAGAGATTTTGGATGGCCCCAATTTGTAATGTAAAGCCACCTGTAGTTTCCCACTGTAAATAAAATGAATGTTAAAACCTGACAAGTAAGTAACACATATGCTGAACATTTTTTTGGTGAACTTCCCATGAGTTACTAGGCAATGTATAGGACAAATGTGCTTACAGGAAAGAGGGCAATCAATACAAACAAATGGGCAACTAAATCAAGCAACCTGGTTGCCTAAAGAGCAAACTGACATGAAAGTTTGTGTTGAACACTTCAGTACTAATTTTAAGGTTACAGTTAGGAATATATCACATGCATTTCAAATATAGGGAACAATAATACAACACAACTGAGAAAAGTATTCTAACTATCTGGTATCTTGGCTGCTTGCTTTTGTTTTTTCAGGGTTTTCTACCTGCCCTTCCCTTTTCTCATAAGCTAGTGGGCTTGCTTTGGCATCTTCCTTATCATTTTTCCTACCTTGTTTTCCCTTAAACCCCAAACTGAAACAGGCTCATTTTGAGAACACTACAGTTGTTTGAAATGAGGTGCAAGATTTACTATTCCTTACTTACACACAAGACAATTGGAAAATTCCATTTGATCCTATTCAGGAGAACTGTTTTCCCACCTTTTGTTGTGGAATTCCTTCAAAGGATTGGATCCTTATCAATGAGTAATACTAATGACCAAAAATTTTCAATAACCCTTTATTGAACTTAATTCTAGACCAAAAAGAAGCAAAATTACTTGCCTGATTGGGCAAGTTGTGTGCAAATTTACTTGCCCAGAGCACTATTTTGTTGTCCTGGGTAAGTTCAAATACTGTAATTAAGGCTCTCTTATGCAACGACAAAATAAATACCTAACAGAGAATAAAATAATTATACCTAACCTGTAAGAATAAAGGTTCACACTGGTTGTAAAATTGGTCTGATTTCAGGCTACTAAGGGAAATTTGCAAAATGTTTTTCTAGAACTGTCTAGAAAAAAAGGGAAGAAGTCTGTGGTGTTTTCATAGTGAAGGTGAGTACTTTACCCCTTTAATTTACCCAAAGTCAATTTCTAGTTGGTAAAGAGAAGCATCACCATGAATGTTTTAATTTAAGGAAGTGATGCTGCTGAAAATCTATTTTTATCTTTTTTCCAATATGATGTTCACCTTCCTCTGATGAATATGTAATCTTTGAAGTACAGTTAAGACAGAAAATGAAACTTATGACTGATAATAATCGTACAACATACATTGGTTACTTTCACATAACTTTCTTTTTTAAAACTCTTTATTCTTTATAATCAGATACAAAGTACAATTAATAGGAAAATCACAATGAGTCATGTAAAGTCAAAAAGAGTCAGTCCCTCTACAAATCAGACTGCCAAGAATTATTATTAGTTGACACCGAAAAGAAAAGGCCAATTATTATTTGTTAGGAATTACATGTGGTTGAACATTTGAAGACACCCATCTTAAAAGTGGAAATAGTTGGAGCACTTCTTTGGTGCATTTCTTACATTTTGGTGTTGCACCAACTATTGGCATTTATAGTAGTTAAAATCCCAGAACCGTGGATATGATATAGCCAGTCCAGCACTCAAACCATTTTACTACTAATACTCTACTTTTTAATTTGACAGCTTGTGAGAAAAATGTCTCCATACATTGAATAGCAACCCCCTCCCCATTCTTATAAACACAATATCTTAACTCCTAACTTTTTTTATTAGTTTCTGAGTTCTATGGCTTGTGGCCGCTAGTCATCACTTTTACAAACAATGGTTAGATTTTCAACTCCTAAGACAATTTGTTAGTGGCTTTTCAACAGAGTTTGGTTTAAATCATTTTGCTACTTCTCATAACCTCACTCCTAACGGAGATTTAACTGCTGGTGCCAACTGAGAATGAAGCAGTAACAAATTAAAGTAGGTGATGATTACAGTTTTGAAATGGTTACCCTTCGGAATATGGAGTATCTAATTGTGTTCTTAGACTTTTGGATTCTATGGCCTTCCTCAATAACTTCCATCCCTCTTTTTCCTCAAGTTTTTCATCATTATTATCCTCCTCCTCACTAGACTCTGATTCCTAACAGAATCAAAATCAACATAAACTAGATACACAGAAATCCAGGGGACAAACATCAGTTTTAGCGGCTTCTTTGAAGAAAATTTTAAATTGTGTTTAAGTTTTGGTGTGAATGAGGTTTTACACATAAGTTTTATAAAGCATTTCTTTTCAAATTTTAGAAATCATGTAAAGGCATCCACACTCGTGTTAAGAATTCTTGTAAGATATGCATTGCCTTGAACATCACTGTGGGGAAGAAAAATTTAACAGACTATAGGTTACAAACCCACCTTAGAGAATGGCCTTTGCCTGATTTCTCTATGCCTTCTTGTTTCAAATATTTTTCTCAATTCATCCTGTACACAGATAATGTCAAGAAGATGATGAAAATAAGAGAGATCAAGCATAAATATAACGTGTTCCAAAATGTAGCATTAGGCAACAGAATGACAGTCATATTCACTGAACATCACTATTATTTCATTAACTATCAACAATACCAGTATGCAATTGATGGCCATTCAAATTTAATTTATTACAACTCAATACATGGCTGCCATAGTTAACACTCATTCACATTCAATTACCCTACACTGATCTCATGATCAAGGCTGTGCTCTAAGGAAAATTGAATGGAGCCCAGTGCTCTGAAACTGTGAAATCCAGGGTGCCCAGCATATGCTTTGTATGAAAAAACTAAAATTTCCGAGTCGCCCAACAGCAAAAGTAAGGCACCAGGGGCCACCGGGCGCTGCTAGAGCACAGCCTTGCGTGATCACATTGATTCACCAATTTCAAGTACCATAAACACTTATATAGGACTTCACTTTGGCGATTCAAATTTTGCAAAAGAAGTTTTTGAAAAGAATTTGAAATAAATCTTGGGTGGAGTCTTAAGAAAGTTGCTTTATTTTGGTTACTATATCAATGCGACCAACATTGGAAACAGGGATTACTTTGGATCCTTACCTATAATTTTAGCTGTAATAGTACTTTGGTTTTGTTCAAACAGTATTTTTTTCATTCTTGTCAGGTTTTTACAAGAGTTTTAGAGTTTAACATAAAACAGGAAATGTTTAGTTTATTCTTTTGTAGCTCAAATTAGCCAGGCATTTTATTAAGAGAAGCATTGAACACAAGAGGCTTTTGAAGCATTAATTTTCATCACAGTACAATGCAAGGTTCCTTGTCAAGAAACATGTAGCTGCTCAAGAAATTAAGCTACAGTGACATTAAACCAGTTAAAAGATCCCTAAATGAAGGTTTAATACCCCTCAACAGCAAGAATTATATTAAGCTTGTGCTTATAAATAAGAAAAGCTCTTTTATGAACCACCAAACTTGCAAAACCAATTCATTATGTGTACCCTAATATATTTTTATGAAGTTCTGGTTAATTTGCTATGCAGACTTCAACATTTTTGTCATTTTTCTTACCAGTACATTTAAAAATTATTTTCCAGAAGCTCTTGCAGATAAGCCTATATTATGACAATAAAAAATGTCTTTCCTCTTCAGCATGATTTCATTTATACTCAACAGCTCCTGTAAAAGCCCAATCTTTCAAAAAAAGGAAAGGTTAAAAAAAAAAAACCCCAACGCCAGTAAGTAACGCGAACTACACAACGAATACACTTTATTTATACACAGCGAAACAAGATGGAAGATACACAATGGAGAGAAAACAGTCAGGCGTCACTCGTATGAGCACGCGCATAAAACTTAACAAACACCGCAGGACAACCTGCTGGCGCAAACCTACACATTTAAGCCACTTTCAGGGATTCAAGGTTATGAAAAAAACTAAAGAGGAAAAAAATTATTTGCACAATATCAAGTAAAACACTGTACCACTAACCAATCAACTAGCCTCTGACATACGTAAAAGTACTGGAAATCATTTTCCAATGTTCCCACAACACTTAAGGCTCAATATTGTGAAAACCATGAAAAAAATGACAGATACCGTAACAGTATTGTGGCTGTGTGCAAACCTTGACATCACTTTTGTTTTAGAACATTGATGCTAAAAAGAAATAATTACGTAACAACTTATGAGATGGCAGCCCAACACAATCTGGTTTCCAAATTGGCATTTTTATGCCAATTTAATGACTATATTTTTCCTATGTACCATGGCAATCTGATCGGTCTCAGCTTAGGGCCTGATATGCATGTGTAACGAAAACGAAGACCCTTGAAAACGAAGACCTAACGCCTAAGACCCGGCCTTCGTTTTTGTAGTACAAAAACCAAGACCCTGTAAACAGGAAACTGTAGAAATTACAACTTAAACACACATTAAACAGCAACAATGCTTAGTAATATAATAGATTACACTTCATGCGTTTCTTCCCATTATTATCCGTATTATTATACCCGTCTTGTCTGTTCTGTTTCGCTTTGCGAGCCAATTTGGTGTTGATATTCTCAAGGGTTTCCTCGGGTAAACTTACAACACATGTTATTATTCTGGAACAGCAGACAGAATTGGAACGCTAGCCGCCTTTGATTTCTAGTTAGCATTGCGTGACAGAATAACAGAGAAGGCGTTCTGCACAGGAAAAATTACTCTTGGGTTCTGTCAATAAATAATCAATTTCTACTGTATTTTGCAGCTAAAATAGATTCTGACGGTCGTTCAGCTTTCTCTGCTGGAAAATTCTTGTTAAAAAGTAAGCAATTCTTTTGGCTAATGCAGGGTCTTCGTTTTTGTAGTAAGAAAACCAAGACTCTTTCTTAAAAGCCCGAATAAAGCCTGCTTAACCTTAGTAAGGCCCTAAGATATTCCGATCACTGGCTTGCTAGCGAAACAGAACACTTACAGGATGGGCAGTATAATAATACGGGCAGTATAATAATGGGAAGAAACGCGTGAAGTGTAATGTATTATATTACTAAGCGTTGTTACTGTTTAATGTGCGTTTAACCTGTAATTTCTATGGTTTTCTGTTTACAGGGTCTTATAGGTCTTAGGTCTTCGTTTTCGAGGGTCTTCATTTTTGTAACACCCAATATGCATGCGCATACATCAAAATTTCAAAAACAACATCATTTTTACAAACTCAGTATCAAAAGCCATTGTCAAAATAATAATTAAACAGTTTCAAATGACTCTAGAAAACTCTTCAGAGTCGATCAGTGAACCAGCTTTCTAGAGTCAGCCACTGAAGGCAGCTGGTGCTATAGGTTAAACATACACAGTCTCAGTTAGTTGTGTGGTGTGTGAGTTACTGATTTTTAGGAACAGGATTCTTGACATACTCTATCTCATCCCTCATTTGTGTTCAGTGTGAGTGGCACTGTAGAACAGACTCCCCTGAAAGGGTGTCAACAACTACAAAAAACATTCAAACAACTTGTACACCACTTTTATTGAACAAACAAACAGAACTGAACCTAACACGTATTTCTGACAGATCAAAAATAACCAACTGCAACCCACCTAACACTGTTAAGTCTTACAGCCAGTGACACTACCTCAACAAATAAAAAGCTAAGAAAAAGAAAACTAAAAGATGCATAATTTCTTGTAAATTCTGGAAAGGCACGTTCACCATGCAAACGAATCATTTGAAGTGCCAAAAGCTCTAATCTTTAAAACTGGAGAAACTCCCCCTATTTTCACCAAAATGGCACAGTTAAACAAGTTGAAACAGAACCAATGGCTGGTTTCATGGTACACAGAACTCTTTGTTATCAAATCCCAATATAACAAAATTTTTGTCTTATTTTTTCCCTCAGCATTTCATATTGCTTGAAACAGAATGTTTACCATGTCTATTCAGATGAGTAAATTCTTTTTCTCATTTTGAGGTATTAAATGTAATATATATATATATATATATACTAACTTCAAATGGCTTAAACTGTTAAAAACAATTCACATCACTACAAAGAAAGGAGATAGCTATTTCCTCCATGCAAAGTAGAAAAAAAAAAAAACCATAGTGAACTGATGAAAATACATTCAAACCAAATTCAACCATTCAAATCATAGTTTCTTTATTTGTAAACTGCTGATGTTATACTTCACTGGGAAATTAGTAGTTCTTCTGAATCTCATTGATCAGGTCTTCTAAACCCCGTAACTTTAAGGTGATTTTGAAGATATACATAAGAAAAGGCTTTCAATAGTATTTCTTCAGTATGTGTAGTATATAGATTTTGTACAGTTTTTAAAATTTAAATACTTGTTTATTTATCATTCCTTCTAATCTTCAGAAATCTGATCCTTTCTCCATAGATTTAATGGTATCTTATTGGTTCTAACAAACAAAAAAGTTGTTATTACTTTTACAATGGTCCCGAAAATCTAGCAAACCTTTCTCCAATGGAGTTAAATGTGTGAAACCACATACTACCTACATATCAGTCTAATTTAAATCGTATTATTATTCTGCAAAAGAAGATAATCAGAATCATATCTAAAGTTTCTTTTGATTCACATACCGATGTTCTTTATAAAGAACATGGGATCTTAAAATTCTCGGATATCTATTTCTACTAAATAGGTAAATTTATGTATCTGTTTAAAAGAGGCTTACTTCCAAATTATTTCATGATATGTTTACTCTTGCTAGCCAGATACATTCTTATAATACAAGAAATTCCAGCTTTTTCTCCTCATTGTCAAACTAATTTTTGAAAATTTTCAATCCGGTTTCAAGGTCCTAGGTTTTTCAACACACTAAGTAGGGAAATTCAATACTCTGAAAGCATCAGCTTGTTTAGCAAAAGGCTTAAAAAAATTCTTCTTTCTTAGTCAAATATATTTTGTTAAGCTGCACACCTTTCCTTTTTTTTTTCTCTCTTTTTTTTTTTAACTTAATCTAAATTTTCATTTAGCTCCTTTGTTTTGTATGGTTTGTCCTATAGTTTAAGGAAGCCTATACTTTATAAGCCCCCAGCTTCTAATAGGCTTCCTTGCTGTTACCTCTTCAGTTCCTTTGATTTTGAAGTTAATTTAGATAGAATAGTTCTTTTTATCTTTGATGTATCATAAATTTTGTATTCAGTTAATTTTTTTCTGGTAATGAAGGAAGGAGTGAATGAATGAATGAATGAATGGCCAGTTCCACAATTTCTCATATCATTTAGTAAAAAAACAATTTCAATAAGATTTATGAATGGACTTCATGGTTAAATGGACACCATTTTCAACATTTAAAATGTAAGCATTCTACACGTGCAAGAGTTATTTTTTTGGATGGGTGAGTTGAAAATTGACACTTAGTAACTGATGTTTGCATTTTTGTAAAAGAATAAGAGCACCTATTTTCAAAAGATATCAGTGGAAATAAAGTTCAGACACACCTATGTTATCGGTCAGTGTAAATCACAGACTGCGGACTGCAGACCGGGGGTAAAATGCAGACTGAGGGTAAAATGCAGACTGCGGACTGCAGACCAGGGGTAAACTCCAGACTGAGGGTAAAATAATATATTAATAATAAAAAACAAGACTTGCAGGTGTTCCTACACGTACCCGTATTTTTTTTTTTTTTGATAATCCCGAAAACTCAAACCAAAAGGCGTTTATTGCCTTAGTCAAACATATTATCAACCTCGAGTTCTTGAACTCCCCATTTTGTTGAACTAAGTTTCCCAAAAGCGCCCAAACTGATCGTAATGCTATGCATCTTACCTTTGTTTACACTTCGGCCATTTTGAATTGTGCTTTCGCGAATAGGTCTGGTACTGAGTAACTCTTTCAGCGTTCAAATTCTTCATATGGCCATGGAATTGTTAGGAAGACAAGGCAAGCAAAGCAAAACACGAGAGCACAACAACAAGGCAAGGTAAACTTGTAGGTATCGAGCATAGATTGTGAAAGACATTTAATCTTTGTACTCGACTTCAATGTACCAAGAGGTTTGTGAATTGATATTGCTAAAAGGTGACAGTGGGCTATCCAAACATGAAAAATTATGACATGATGTGGCCTTTGTGTGTCTCGTGAGTCTTACCGTGACATAATTTTACAGGTACGAACACTCTTTATTTCATCCTTAAGACTTTTTTTTTTTATTATTAATATTTTACCCTCAGTCTGCATTTTACCCCTGGTCTGCAGTCTGCAGTCTGCATTTTTAACCCCCGCTCTGGAGTCCGCAGTCTTCGTTTTACACTGACCACCTATTTTTTGGTCTATTGCCACTGGTTTCTGTATAATTGTTAGCAAAAATAAACTGTATTGGTGCCATGCTTCCTGTAATCTCCTTTACAGTCAAGACCAAACAACAGCCTACTTGCAGGTTAAGACAATGCATACTGCAGTTTGTTCATTAAAGACAAAATTAAAATCATACAGTTACAGCTATTTGCTTCATAAATATTCTTTCAAATAATTTTACGGTAAGAAGCAAACCAAAACTCTATTTTATCTCCAATAGCCTCTAGCCAAATACATCTCTCGGTCTCCATTCTTCAAATGAGTGAAAATAGATTGAAAGAAGTTAAAAGTAGGGGGGCACCCTATCTGGTAGTTTTCTATTTTGACTTTACCTTGTGCCTGCAGAATGTGACAAAATGTGGGTTGTTTACAAGGAATTGATGCGTGATGGGGTGAAGTCCAAGGTAGCTAATTTCTGAATTTACTGACATGATTGGCATGAGGGACCACACTCTTAGTTAGTGCCAGCATCCCCCAATGTTGTGATCTAATTGGTGCAAGATACATATCCTAATACAGCAATCTGATTGGTACATGATACATACCCTAACGAGGTAATCTGATCGGTACGAGATACATAGTTACCCTAATACCCCAATCTGATTGGTATGAGATACATACCCAAATGGAGCAATCTGATTGGTGCTTGATACAGAACCAAATGCAGCAACAAGTGACATACCCCTCTTTACACTAATATAGAGTTATTTAAAAAAAAAAACTCAAAAAGAATATAAAAAAAAGTAGGAAAAAGCACAAAAGTCCTTATGGTGATTTCTCTCTGACCTTACTCTTTGCTTTTCTTGATGATTTTTTTGCCGTTTATTTAACCCATTTGTTTTCTCCAGTGAGGTCACAAGATGATCTTTCCCATAAATTTCAATGGACCTTTACATCAGGAGACTGACAACGTTTTCATTCTATTTTCTTTCATTTGCAACCTCTAGTTTCTTTCCTTAATTAGTTTGTAACTTGAGGTTGGAAGTAGAAATTAGTCAAGCAGCAAACAGTTCTTACAATTGATCAACATGCTTGTGTGATATGAATGCTAAACACAAAGTGAGTGAAATTTATACCTACAGTATCACACATTCCATCAAACTTTTTGTGCTCCCTTCCTGTAGCATAATAGCAGTTGTCTTTTATATGCACGCTGGCTACTTGCGAGTAATATATTCCATACGAAATACTTCTGTGATTCTCAAGAGAAATGAGACACATATCGAGAGAAACAAGACTCTTATTGAGAAAAACTAGACACGTCTTAAGAGAAATGAGACACCTCTTGCGAGAAACGAGACATGTCTCGCAAAAAAGGGGACAAGAGGTGGTAACTTATATTTGAGCGATACTGTAAGCAAAAAACTGCAATTGGTGCCACGCATACCATAGTCTCCTTTGCAGCCATTGTTTTTGATCTTGTCACCTGATGCGCTCTGACAAAACCAAACTACAGGTTGAGATGGAGACTACTGGGTATGCTTACTGCCTTTTCTCTGTCAAAGAAAAAAATTAAAAGTATCTGTTTACATTTAGTTGCCAAGGAATATCATTCCATGTATTTTTTTTTGCGGAATACAAACCCATTACTCTTTTTTTATCTCCCAAAGGGAGACATTAGAAAACACCCCTTATGGCAGAAAGCTAAATGAATAGTAACAAGTTAACAGGTTATGAATGAGTTTCTAGTAATCACACCCGTGTGTTTGCGCAAAGATGCCACAGGGCAAACAGTGTAAGCTGCTAGAAGGAATACAGTATGGCGAAAGGTTGTTTCAACATCCAAACAAATGATTTTGGAGTGAGATCAATGCTTTTCAGCTGCCGTTTTATCAGAAATGGATTAGATAATGTTGATGCAGAGGTAATGTAAGAGGTTGATGCAGAGGTAAATTTGTTTAAAATAAGCACAAGACATGTTATAAAACACAGCAATAAACTTCTCTGAATGAATGAATGAATGAATGAATGAATACCTTTATTTAAGTGTCAGACTAAAATAGCAGTACATAACCACTAAATGGGGACACTACAAAATAAATTAAAAATGACTAAATCCATATATTAATTAAAGTTAAAATGCTAATTGAGCTAAAAATACTAAGATTGGTGAACATGCTAAAATATTTACAATATGTACAAGATAAGATGTACATTAAAAAACTTTTCCACATTAAGTACTGCATAAAATACAGTTGGTACAGTAATTATCGGTCAGTAAAGTATTTAGATCAATCTTACGGATATTTATCTTGAAAGATGATAATGTTGGCAGATCTCTAATGTTCTTAGGTACAATATTCCATAACTTAGGTCCAGTATATCTGATAGAGTGCTTACCATATGTTGCTGTATTAAATCTAGGAATAACAAATTCTTTGCTACGTAGGGCATATTTCGTATCAGACCTCCGAAATAGGTCAGCAATATACTTAGGACATATATTATTCTTGACCTTGTACATGAGAGTAGCCATGTCCTGTAACCTTCTGTTATGTAAAGTACATAGATTAGCCATACCCAATAGTGTGTTATAACTTGACGTTTTGTCGCAATAGATGGCTCTAAGTGCCCTTTCCTGTATGCGTTCGAGTTTTCTGCTGTCACTAGCACGACAGAAGTGCCAAACAAGATGAGAGTAAGTTAAATAAGGAAGAATGGCAGCTTTAAACAATTGCAACTTGGTGCTAGTAGGTATTAAGTTTCTGAGTCTCATTAAGACTCCTACACGTTGGCTGCTTTTCTTACAGATTGTAGTAATATGTTCAGCAAATCGGAGATCATTGTCTATTGATACTCCAAGCAATTTCAGGCAGGCAGTTGATTTAACTTCTACGTCTCCAATAACAATTCTCATACTATGATCACATTTATTACCAAGTGTTAAGGTTCGATACTTGTCGAAGTTTCCTTTAAGGAAGTTGGAACTGTACCAGTTGGAAGCTACTTCAGCACTTACTGTCAGATTAGCATGAACATCAGCTAGATTACTGCTCATATCATAAAACTGGTGGTCATCTGCATACATATTAAGGTTTGTATTAATGTCATAAGTTAGATCATTCTGAAAAATGTTCCATAATAACGGCCCAAATGCAGATCCCTG